TTCTAATAAGTAAAGGGTTGTTCTAAAATCACCTTTTGCTGCTTCAAGGTCAAGAGAAAGATGGCAGTACTGGTCTTACGATTACACATGAAATGTTCCTCTTGTATTTTCCTTGTTAGTTTTTGTTTGTTTGTTTTTAATGAACAAAATGAAGCCAAAAAAACTCTCATCAATCAACTTGAAATTCTGCATACTCTTATCATTTGATTGCTCTGCTTATATTCTCTGTCATGCTTCTTAATTATTTAAATTTAAGTTGGTCTGTGTCATTACATGGCTTACTAAAATGACTATAGGTAGCTGATGGATTGATAGCATAAGTGATCATGTGAAACTGAGAAATGCATTGGAAGCTCGTTGGGATTTGTGCTGTTTTATTGAAAATAGCTGGTAGGTCTAATATATGTTTTTAAAGGTGATATACAGAAGTACTTCTATTTGTTGAATGATTAAGGATTATTCCATCATAAAGTGCAGGACTATTGCCTTGATAAAACCCAGAAAACACCTGTTCTATTATATGTGTTCTCCTAGCATGCAATTAAGGATGCTAAAACTAATTTATAAACTTTTATATAGCCCTATCCTCAATGTAATTGAATAAATATAAAGCTTAGAAGGAATTAGAATTTCTGTCCGTCAATAAAGGTTGAAAAGCTATGTATGGCATTCCCTTAAAAGACTGTTACCATTGCTAAATTAATCTTGCATAATACACCAATACTTAGAAATGAATGCAATTTGGGATTTAGAACACACACACACACACACACACACACACAAACATGAGACTTGTTCTTCACTTATTGAGCACTTTTCTTCATGTTCTCAGAAGTTCATTGCCTTGAGAGATGACCCTGAAAACAGATAAGTTAAAATGATTTCCCAAATGTCAAAAGCCAAAAAGCAGCATGACTAGTTCTAAAGCCTTTTGAATGGTGATCCTCTTTCTATTATCACTGCCTCCAAACAAGGAAAGGCAAAAACAAATTACCCTGTACAGCTTAGTCACTAGCCTCAATCTCTGCAGCTCATTTGTCTGTCTTATTACAAACCACCTCTCTATTTTGGAAAGAGTGCCATTGTCTTTACAAAATTATATGACGTTTGACTTTCTTGGAGTACTGAATGAAGTGCTTTTGTTCTATTAATTGCTTGCCTGGTAGATATTACCGCAGGGAGAACATTAGCCCCCTGTGTCATTGGAAAACAAAATCCTCATCTGACATACAGAACTCAAAATTTCTCTTCTTTCTCTGTGGGCTCAGATTCAACATAAGAAATGAAAGTGAGAAAATGATCTGCTTAAATCCTTTGACAGAAAGCAGGGGAGAAAATCCTCTGGGTTCTTCGTTAACAAAAAAAGAAGGGGTTGTATTTTAACCTACTTCCTTTAAGTGAAAATGAATATGTAGTTGATCCAATAGAAAGTTTGTCCCAAGAATGGCAGCAGACAGAGAAAGGCTATGCGAGAAGCTGTACTTGAAGATGACTTTTGGTGAGCCCTTTCTTTTAAACTTGATGGTAGCATTCACACAGCAGAGCTGTTTTTAAGTTACATTTCTCTAATGAACAATGACTTCCTGCTACTTCCTCAGAAAGAATTGTAACTGCAAGCAGATTGGTTTAACTCATTAACTGGGCAGTTCACTACGTTCTTCATCTAATGATTCTGGCTGAAGTAAATGGGGGCTATGTGTGCTAAAACCATATTGAAAGTGAGATCAAGAACACTATTCAGTTTTACTAGGATAATGCTTGTACTTTTCCTATGTTAATCATCAGTACTCGATATTCATTCATCACACTTCAGTATTTTTTTAAACAATAAAATGATTTCAAACATTGGATCAGTTTCAGGAAAACACCCCATACCTACATAGCAAATGCACTGTTAATCCAAGGCTCAAGTTACCACTTGAGAGATTTATGACCAGAGAGGCTGTGATCAGGTTTTGAATGTGAAGCAAAAATAATGGCAGAAGTTCTAGAATTATACAATCCCCTTTTCATCAACAACTCAAAATCAAACTTGATGATCACACTTCATTAGATATTAATCTTACAGTGGAGACATGAAGCTTTTAAAGGAGCATTTTAACTTCAATTAAAAAAAAAACCTCTCCCTAGAGGGGAACAATAATGCTGTGTTGAAAGTTACAAGAAGAACTATTAGATCTCGTTAGCTAATTATGTTATGGGTATCCACTTAAGTCTCTCGCTTCTGTCATTTCTTCTTTTCAACTACCAAGGTTCCAAAACGGTTTCACTACTTAAAAGGGAATACATCATCGCTGCCCTTCCCCAGTCTAACTGCTCACCACTTTCCACAGCAATAGCTTCAATCACGCTTCATAAAATCCCCTGCAAGTATATTGTTGGAAACATAAATCAGCAAGCTGGGGTTTTCGTATTTCCGAGGCAAGCCCAGGGATCACTGACTGGAGGCTTCTCTATGGCCCCATTTACAAAAGAAGAAACAAAATCCTGAGTTACAGTAGGGTCTTTTATTTTATTTTATTTTTCCAAACAGCTCCCAGTGGTGTGTCTGATACTCACTGCTGCATCCTTAATTAGGGAACAAAACCCTAGCAAGGAGAAACTGGACTCTGGGATGAGGGCACAGATTTCTGAGCATCCCTGACTTCATTCATTAGCACACATGTCATAGATGTAATGCATGCCCATTGTGACAGAAGCTCCGTGCTTCTGATATGTATCGATGGCTCTGTGAGGGCCACACATTTGGAACTGTGGATAGAGATTTTTCCAGGGATGCTCTTCTTCCAGCCTGCTTCATTAGCGTCAATATGGGCTCCCCTGCAGTCATGTTTCCGTTTCAGAGCTCTTCCTATAACCCCTGTGTATTCTGATTACAAATCAGCTGAATCACAATATATCTGATACATATTACATATCTAGACCCCAATCCTGTATCTTTGCATGTACAGCTTAAATCCAGGCATTTAAACGTTCTCATATTCCCCTTCTGTCCCCAAATTCAAACACACTTAGCATCTGCAATGATATATGTACAGACACCACAACTGAGACATTCTTTTTCTCCAAAGTGCTCACAATGTAATACCAATCTGCAGAAACTGGCTTCCTTGTGTGCTCCTATATTTCCCCACACTGGCTCTACTTATTTAATTGCAGTTGTTTTCTAGGTGCAATGTTCACAATCTGTTTCTTGCTTTTTCACAAATGCCCTCATGCATCACATATGAACAGTTAAACACGATCAACAGCTCTCCAATAATGAGAGAAGCCCATCTATATGGGGAAAAGTAGAGGATAATTTTTCTCTGAAACTGATGGAATGAATGGATTAGGTGGGTGTTATCTTGAAATGAGCATCTCTGTAATTTGTCTAAGACTGAAATACTGCACACTATTTGTACAGGGAAAGGAGCAGCTGCGTACTAAGACACTTTACAAACTATAGTTTTATCCCAGCGTTTGCATTCCTAACCAATTGCTTTTTATCAGCTGCTAACAGTATAGCTTTGGGGAGGAGAGGGGGAGAAATAGGAAGGCATTACATCGAAAATGTCAAGCCCTGCTGAAGAATGATAGAAAGACTACAAGAGCAGTAACAACCAATACTGGGATTAAAATGGAGTTCTACCACCCCCTGCTGGACCACATGAGCAACAGAAAAGAGGCTAAAAGTGCTTAGAATTTGGATATAGTGAAGATATTTTAAACTTATCTTGCCATTTATTATTTTATTTCCAAGTAATCTCATGTCACACAAATAATATAACCTCAGCAATTACTGTACACCACAAAATTGCTGTTGTTTTCTTAACCTTCCAAAACTTTCAACCCATGGACGATTTTTAACATTTGTCTACCCAATTAAATGTCCAAACTTGTCTGGACAGTTGAGAATGCTTCTAATTCTTGTAAATATATTTATGTGAATGCATACTGTTGAAACAAGTAAGATAAATTAACACAGATCTCTATACAGATCAGTAAAGCTGGCTTCCAGAAATTGTCCCTTGTGTTAATTGACTAGGTTTCTTTTATTATTTATTTATTTTTCCTAATAGATAAGCTCCTACCAATTCTCCACAACCACCTCCAAAACCCCTTACAGGTGCAATGAGAATCTTCTGTTATTTTTTTAAATTTTTTTTTCGCTGTATTCACAAGAGAGTAGAGGGTCAAAATGAATGACTGCAACACATTTCTAGTTTTATGCATTGCTTTTTCATCTCTCTCTCTCTCTCTCTCTCTCTCTCTCTCTCTCTCTCTCTCTCTCACACACACACACACACACACACACATCTATGGCCTCTTTTTACTTTCCAACATCAATGAGCCATCATTATTCACTTCCTAGGCAGGAACTGGTCTTTAAAAAAAAAAAAAAAGGAAAGGGGAAAAAAAAAGGAAAGGGGAAAAATGCCCACCAGTCTCTTAAGAAATGAATTTCTTGCACACCAGAGAGACGTTCCACAAACGAATGGAGCCTTGATAGTTTTGGCTGCTTCTGTAAAATACCATCGCTCCCTTCCCTTCCACAACCGCAGATATTTAACTATTAATACACAGCAACACACTCATCCCATAGATCTCATCAGGAAAAAAAAATCAGAGGACAGGGGGAAAAAAAGAAGAAGAAAAACAGCAACATCTCAGGAAAAAGAAAAAAAAGCAGTTTGCCTCCATCTGCCGCTTTACTGATGTGCACATACACTCCCACCCCCAAGTCTTCATTTCTCTCTCTCTTTCCCCCCGAAGGGTCTCAACCTGACATACGACGACAATACTGAAATGCATAATACATCTCCAATGTTAGGGGGCCACTGAATCCAAGAGCCACAATCACGGGAATCCCATGCACAATTAGCAGGAACTTTAGTTGGCTGGCCTTTAATTCTGCGCTCCCCTCGGTGTTCCCCGCGTGCCTTCCCGGGTGGGGTGGAAGGAAGGGGGGGTAGGAGGGAAGGAGGGAGAGTACATGCCACGAAGCACCGCACTCCTACCTTGCCCGCTACTGACAAGCAACCCGAGCAGGTAGAAGGAGAGGAGGAGGCTCATGTTCAGGACGTGACACTGGTGGACAGTTCCAAAGTTATTAAGTCCAGCCCTGGAGAGAGAACCTTCCGCTGCAGCCACGGCCGCTCCCGCTCGCCCCACGCCGCGCCCGGGGTGCCCCAGCCGCCCGC